TGAGGCAATGATCTGGAGAAAGCATCTCTTGGGTTGTAGTTCTAGCACAGCTTGGAGGCTTGGGCTGGATGAACAGTCCTACCTTTCGCTAGTTTAGCTATCTTCTGCACTGGGGTTTCCAAAAACGTCTAAGGATAGGCAGAATATAACTGTGCATAATTACACATAATATTGACTCCATGGTTTGCTGACATTGACAAGGTAAACAGTAAATCAGTGGAACTCTTTGGCTGTTGTGATGTAGATGCATTGATAAGGTTCCCTTCTAGCCACTAACAAATCTAAACCTTTGCAAGCTGACAAAAAAACTCCCAACCCAACAGTAACAAGGAAAGGGTTAAATAGTATTCTGCAGGTGCAGTTTCTTCATTTTAAATTGCGGTTTCAATCTCCACTGGACTCAAGTACTTTAAATGGGACATTCTCGTTTGATTTGAATCAAGCCCAACTTGTCAGTAATTCTAAACCGGTTAGGGATAATCCTTGTTCATCAGGGGAAATCATTACAATGTGCTGCCTGGAATCTTCATCTATGCAACAAGCCATCCTTCTAGCCTGCATTGGGAATGATGCAAAAAAAAAAGAAAAGAAAAAAAAGCACATTTAAATACAACAGTGGCCATTTGCAATCAGCGGGGTACATGCCTCCCACGTGAGTGACTGATAGCTGATGCTGTTCCTCAGTCTGTGGATGAATTAAGTGACACGAAAACCGACTGGTAACGGACTATGGATCTTAAGTCACCAGTTCAAAGTCAGCCTAGGTCAGAAATAGTCACCTGAGAACAGCTTTGTAGTCTGGCCTTTATTTGCCTTTTTCATGTATTTACAACACATACACTACAATGTTTTATAGGTGGGTAAACTGACACAGGCAGATTAAGCCACTTGCTCCAAGGTGATATTGCAAGTTAGTGAAAGCTGGCACAGATCCCAGCACGGGGACTGGAATACCAATAGGAAGGGCAGTGGCAGTTGAAGCAGGGTAAAGCAAGGAGTGGTGCCCAGAAGAAATCCGCAGCTGGGAAGAGTTAAAAGGATAACTACCAGTTAGGGAGGAACCAAACTGTCACCTCTGCTCCCCCATTTCTGCTTCCTTCATTATCGCCATTGCAGATCATATGGGGCACACGTTTGGTTTGGCCTTCTTCCTGAGGCTTGGCCTTCTTGTGTTTACTAGGGCTGTGCAAAGCTTCGGGTGCTGATTCGATTCAGAGGAGACTTGGCCCGATTCGGTGGCCGAATCTCCGAATCTGAATCGAATCAGGGGACCAATTAAAAGATCCAAATCAATGTGAAGCTCTCCAAATCTTTGGAAAAGATTCGAAGAGCTTTGGTGATTCAGGCAGTCCCTGCACACTTCAGAAGGGAGCTGGACCCAGACTCTGAGCTGGTATGTAGGGGGCGGGTCACGGGGGGAGACAGAGGAGCGTGGAGGGGACCATGGGGGGACCCCTGCCAGGCCTAAAAAAATACCCTACTCACTGGGTGCTGCCAGGCAGGGAACTAATCCCTACTGCCCCACGCTGTGTGGGGGGCTCTGTCATGAGCCCCACAACCCCTGCCCGCTCTCCCAGCCCCTACCATGGGTGCCCCACCCGCCCCAGCTCCCAGCCATTTAAGAAAAAACAAAACAAAACAAAAGAAAGGGACTCACCGCTCCTGCAGCAGTCTCAGGGCTTTGTACAGAGCCCCCCATGCAGCGCGGGATAGCGGGAATTGCCCCCCCCCCCCCCCCCTGGCACGCACGGGGGAGGGGGGGGAAGTTTTTTT